GTAAGACTGACTCAGGACAGGGCAGACGTTGGAGCTGCTGTACATAGCATCTGTACGGGTTGCAGGTGACTTGATGACATATAACACCACCACAAATACACATAAAAAAATATAACAGTGTGTGGCAGAAGGTGCTAAAAGTGTTAGCTATTATTTTTAGGGCACTCCAGAGACCTAGTGGACAAGGAGCTGTGCTGCTAGTACAATGGGAGGTGGTTTGAATCTACCTGCTGTTCCTTAGGGAAAAACAGGGGCAATCAATCTCCTCTCATATGATTTATAGCCTGTGAAAACCTGGAGGGTCAGTTATGAGTCGGTTCTGACTCAATGGCAATGTTGTTGTTGTTATGTGCCGTCGAGTCACTTGCAACTCATTAGCGACCCTATGTACAACAGCCCTAAACTCTGCTCTGTCCTGTGCCAATTGCATCGTCTCTGACACTCCCATCCTGATTATCCCAGTCACTGAATCAATCCACCTCATAGAGGGCCTACCCCTCCATGATGTCCCTCTCCAAGGACCGGTCCCTCCTTACAACATGTCCAAAGTATGTTAGACGGAGCCTCAGAATCCTTGCCTCCAAGGAGCCACCCGGTTTAACCCTTTCCAGGACAAATCTGTTTGTTTTCCTAACAGTCCATGGTATTCTCAATAATCTTCTCCAGCACCAAAGCTCAAAGGCATCAATTCTTCTTCTATCCTCCTTAGTCATTGTCCAACTCCCTGATGCATAACAAGTGATTGCAAAGACCATGGCCTGTATCAGACGTAATGAATTATTTTTTTTATTACTACTGGGCTATGTGATCCTCTAGTCCACCTCCACATTAGGAAGAGCTTTAGAAAGGAGAAAGCAAATCTCCCTCAGTTCTGGACTCTGGACTTCTGTAACTCAGGCCCGAGTGTCCCTTGCAGGGTTGGGCCCAGGGCTGAATCTGTGGGTCAGGGCAGAGAAGCCTGGTGTTATGAACCTCAGGGTCTCCTGGGCTGTGGTAGACTCAGGGTGGACAACAATTTACAGTGCTCACTGGGGTCAGCTGACAGCTAATGTCATTGGATTCTCCCTAAATACCAGACACAGTACCACAGCCCTTATGGGTAAAAGCTCAAAGAGTTCTTGTGAGACTGGGATTCTCATGAGAAAACAAAGGCTCGGAGAGGGAAAGCCCAAGGTTTCCTAGGTGCTCAATGGCCTATGTAGGAATCACACTAGGTCTCCAAGGTGTCAGGCAGGGCTCTGCCCCAGGACCTTTGCACAGGCACTTTAATCTTCCAGATGTTCACTATTCTCCTTCCCTCACCTCCATCAGATCTTTACTCAAATGTCACCTTCTCAGTAGCACTGACCTTCCCCTTCATGTCCCCCTCATTGCTGCCCCCCCCAACTCTATTCCTACCACAATCACATTCCCAAGTGCATCTGACTGCCCTTGTCACCTATGGACCTAGCACAGGGTTGGCTGGGGCGGAGATGGGGGTACAGGTAGTCAGGTGGTGCTGGGAATTCTCATGGAATGTAAGTGTCCCAAATCTTTAAGTATGAGCTTTGAAGGCCCTGTGCTCCATATGGGGGTGAACTGGAGTCCCTAGTGGCTGGCTTTGTGAGTGCTGGGAGTAGCAAGCAAAGTAGACAGGGGCAGGCAAGGACCATGAATGGCATCCTGCCAGTTTCCAGCCAAGGAAGCCAATGACTTTCAATGTGTAAGATGCAATTTCTTCTATTTCACTCTACTTATTTTAAAAAATTCACTTACGTGAATTTATCACTCATGAACAAGTCCAATTTAACCACAGAAGCAGCAGAGGTCGTGAGAGAGACCTCAGACTCACGCCAGCCCTGCCACTTGCTGGGTGTTGCTCTGGGCAAGTTACTTAACCTCTCTGGGTCTTGTCGTGGTAAAACCATTATTGAGTTTATTATATATAAAGGGAAGAGAGTATTTACTGTCTAGCACATAAGCAAACAACCAAACCCAGTGCCTTTGAACTGACTACAACACATGCCGACCCTCCCTCGGGATTCTGAGACTATAAACCTTTTCATGAGGAAATAGCTCTCTCCCTCAGAGCTGCTGGTGGGTTTCAACTACCGACCATTGCAGCCCACGACACCACTCATTCACTCGCTCATTGCAGCTGAGTCAAAACTGACTCAGAGCACTTCACTGAAGAAGACATTCAGATGGCTAACAAGCACATGAAGAAATGCTCAAAATCCCTAGCCCTAAGAGAGATGCAAATTAAAACAACCATGAGATACCATCTCACCCCAGTCAAAATAGCAAATTTTTTTTTATTTTTATTGTATTATTTTTACGTGTACTGTTGCCCCCTCCTTCTCCAGCAGAGCATCTGGTGGATTTAAACCGTGTACCTCTGGGATTGCAGTGCAGCATCTTACCACTAGGCCACCAGAGCTCCCTAAAAATAGCAACATTTAACAGAACAGCAAGCAACAAATGCTGGCGAGGTTGTGGAGAAACTGGAACCCTTATTCACTGTTGGTGGGAGTGTAAAATGGTGCAACCCCTGTGGAAGGCAGTATGGCGTTTTCTCAAAAAGTTGCAAATAGAGATACCATTTGACCCAGCAATTCCACTACTGGGAATATATCCCGAAGAGACCATAACTGTCATCCAAAAAGATATATGCACACCCATGTTTATTGCAGCTTTGTTCACAATAGCAATTTCAATTTTTGACTCATGTACTATTAACTTGTTAGTTAAATTTGTATCTTCTAGGCTGCAACACTTCCATGATACATCTTCAAGGATATGAACATGTATGGCTAAGCACAATTGATAACAGTGCATCTAAATTCCAAAATCAATCTCCATAATAGTCTATGTGTTTCCTACTGCCAAAGGGGCCCTTTACAGTAGTGAAAGATCTTCACCCTGAAACCCACAGCGTCCCTTTTCAGCAGGAAGTAGCTAAGAGAATACGCCATCCCCTTTTCCTTATGACTCAGGGTGAAGTCTCTCTCAGGGAGGAGTGATAGGGAATGGCAAAGGACACAGTGACAAAGGAGATTAATCAGAACTGGCTTTGACAAGCACTGTGGCAATTGGACAATTAAAACAGACATTCGGGGGGTGGGGGGGAAGAAGAACGAACTGGGGAGGAGGGTAGAGAAAACAGTGCAACAATGAATGAATGAAAACCCAAAAGCTCTGTAAATGTTCATTAAAACTAATAAAATTTAATAATAACTTAAAAAAAAACCAAAAACACCCTGACTCAGAGCTGACTCTCCAGGAGGTATTCACAGTCAGTTAATCACATGGGGGGGGGGATTGCCCTCCCATATTTCTCTCAAAGAGCAGTTAGTGGACTTGAACTACCCAGCTTTGGGTTGATAGTGTTAACTCTCGATCCAGTGGACCATTACAGCTCCCTTCTATAGCACTAGAGCTCCTAAGATATCTAACCGGCACAGAACAATGCTTAACAATTAATAAAGGCTAAAGAGATTTGTAATAACATTAATTAGAATACATATTCCTTATTAATATACTGTCCTCTCATTTAACCCAGCAGTTTCCCTTATGTGATAAAAAGGCCCAATGCAGTGTGGGCTGTCACCTCATACCTTCTTCCCTGGAGCTCAACTGGACAGACAGGTGAGAAGAGGGGGAGGAAACTGGGGAGTTACAAGGGGGTCAGTGGCCACCTGCGCCCAGAACATAAAGCCTCTGTGTCATCTCATCTGTCTTTGGCAGGTTGGTTGACATCAGGATGGCGCTCGGGCAATGCCCACCAGCCTGGATGAGGGCCAGGTAAGACCTGGCCTTGGCAGTGGCAGCCTGCTGTGTCCTCAGCAAAAACGCAGAAGCTAGGTCCACAGGGCAGGGACAATGGTTTCCTGAGGGAGACCTATTTGGGGAGTTGCCCACTGATAATTCCTCCTTTTCTGAAGAGTGCTGAGGTCTCCTGGATAGATTTGGAAATCTATCATTTTTGCGTGGTTAGCTCTTTCTTTTTTCCTTTAAATTTTTCTTGGTTATTGAGAATTTACAGAGTAACACACTGGCATTCAAGATTTTATCCACGTACAATTTAGTGACATTGATTACACCTTCAAGTTGTGCAGTCAATCTTGCTCTCCTTTTCTGAACTGTTCCTGTATTAACTGCCCCCAAAGGTTCTGATTAAATCTTTTTAGTTGCTGCTTTCAATCTGATCCCACTGGTCCTTAAAAGAGCAGAATGCTCAAGGCAGACCTTCTTGCCCCCCTCCCCAACTTAAAACTAGTGTTTGGATTTTAAGAAGACTTCAGGGTTTATGTTTTGCTTAAGACATTTTACTAAAGGAGCACTGTTGGTATAGCGGTTAGAGAGTTGAACCCCTAACCAAAAGGTCAGTGGTTTGAACTCACCAGCTGTTGCTACTCAGAACCTAGAGGTCTAATAGAAAAAGACTGCCTCCAAGGGTTATGCTGCTGAATGGGCCTTGGCTCCAAACCACAGTTGACATTTAAGCTTGGCAAAGCCCCCTGACCAAGCCAGGCCAAAGAGATTCTCTACTCAGAATGAGAACAGACAGGCTGGAGGCTGTTCAGTTGAGAAACTGCTGTCAAGATCCTCCAATTTCTATCCTGCCTGAAGCCTGCTGTCAAAATCTTTTCCTTTCTGAGGGACATTTTATTATACAGAAATAAGCAACCCCCATCATCTTTCTATCTTCTACTAACTAGTTAGTCTTTTGCTAATAAAACCCTTGGGGCTCTGAAGTCAGCCACTCCGGATTTCAAATTCTGGATTTTGCACTCTAATGTATAGTGTGCGAAATAATGTACAGATTGCATAGTCTCTGTGAGTCTCAGTTTCCATCTCCATAAAATGGGCAGATTACCAGGATGCTTCTTTTGGGCTGACAGGAAATCTGTAAGTGATGAAACCAGAGAAGAGCCTTGTCCACAGAGCGTGCCACAGTCAAAAGGGCTCACAGATGGGGCGGCCACCGTTTATGAAATAATGACAGTGATGAGGCCTACCTCTCGGGTCCGGAAGATGATCCTGTACTGGTACTGAGGCCCATGGTCCTTGTGATCCTCCAGCTTCTCCCGTTTGATGCTCACGGCCACTGGTCCCAGCTTCTCGTCCACACCAAAGTAATTGACATGCTCTGAGAAGGAAGAACCAGCGAGACCAGAGTCAGCAATCCTGTCTCACAACTGGAACAGTTTCTCCTTTAGCCTCTGGGATCCTAGGACAGAAATCCCATCTTTGCTCACGGCCAGACCCAAAAGAAAGATTAAAGAAGTAAAAAAAAAACTGGGCACCATCTGCCTTCTTATTGCTACCTCGGCCAAGACAGGGAATCAGGGCTTTGAAGAGGTTCATTCAGGTTTGATCATGTGCTAATAAGTTACCTTTCTACCTCAGAGTGTTCCTTGGGAGGGAGCGCTGGTGGCCCAGTGGCAAGAAGATGCACCGCGATCCAGAAGGCACGCAGTTTGAATCTACCAGATGCCCTGCTGGAAAAGGAGGGACAATCGCTTCCTGTGCCAGTTCTATCTGATTTCATGGTACACAATAAGGAAGAAAGACAAAAATCCCACCCAAAAAACCAAAACCAGAGTGTTCCTTGGGGGCAAGGACGGCAAAGCTTTGCCTCACATACTTTGAGCAGGTTGCTAGGAGAAGTTATTCTTTAGAGAGGGACATCACGCTTGGGAAGGTAGAGGGACAGCAAAGGAGAGGAAGACCCTCAACCAGGACTGACACAGTGGCCTTGTGACACAAGTGGCCTTGTGTGTCAAAGATTGTGAGGCTGGTACAGGATAGAAAAGGGGCCGAGTGTGTTGTTCATAGGGTCACTATGGGTTGTACACTACTCAGTGGCATTTAACACCACCACTACCCCAGATATACTGATCGGAATTTGCAGTCTGACAAGATCCTAGTTGATTCTTATGTATACATCTTGTAGATTTTCAGAATATCTAGGGTAGAAAGGTAGATTCTTAGCAGGGAATGAATCAAAGCAAACTGGTTTGAAGTCTTGGTCCCTCTCTTTCACTGCCACCAATTGGAAGTGACTCATAAATGACTTACCATTAGGTTTCTGAGACCGTAAACCACACAGGAGAAAATGGCTATCTTTTATCCTGCGGAGCAGCTGGTGAGTCTGAACCATCACTGAGATGTGGTCTTTGAGTTAGCAATAAAACTCCCTACAAACTATGCCACCAGTGCTCCCTCTTGGTTTCAATATAAAATCTGACTTTCACTACATTTCTTTCACGTGGGTATTTCTGAGTGTGAACTGAGCAGAACATACTTTCCAGTGGTTAGGTACAAAAGGACACATAAAACTATGAGTGAACTTACTCATGTCTGTACATACCAAGCTTAATTGAGTTCTTAAAATCCTCTATTAATTTGGTTAAAAAGATCTGCCAATTTCAAAGGGAGAACCAGCTAACTTCTGTGAATTTGAAAATGCTGTGAATTTGTCCATTTCACCTTATAGCCTTACCAGTTTCTCTTTTCTATACTTCTGAATCAAAAGCTCCTAATTATTTTAGCTTCATGGTGGTGGTGTTCATTATCAACTAGCAACCAACTGACAGCTGACCCTCCAGCAGGTTTTCAGAGGTCCTTGGTAATGGGGGGGGGGGAATCAATCTAAAGCAGCTCTCTCAGTTCCTCTATAGAATGAGGTGCTTCTTACTGTGAAATGTTTGTGTGAAACAGATGTCACCTCCTCTGCTCCATCTTGGTTATACTCTGGAACCTTTTCCATCACTGTTTTTCATCTCTGTTATTTGCTTTGTGGCAGGTGATGCCACTACACTTGGCTCTGCTTCTCACACAACGACCCAGAGTTAGGGTGTAATGTTAATAAGTGAGGGAACAGAGACTCCAGACTTTATAGGTTATGGAATGTATAAATTTCCAAAACCCCCTTATCTCCAGGTATGTACATAGAAGTATAAGTATATGAATATGTATATGCATATCTATTTATATATACAATAAAGCACACAAGGACATAGTGATGGATACTTCTCAGAACAACCAAATACCTTGAAGGTAATTCTGAGTTTGAAGGCTGAGGAACACAGTCTTGTGGGACAACCCAGTAACAGGCATAAGATAGTTGATAAAGTTATGTTCTATACCCTAGTCTGGTGAATAGTGCCTGGGATCTTAAAAGTGTGGAAGCAGCAATCTATGGTGCCTCTACTGGTTCCTACTTACCAAAGAAAAAGAATAAAGCCAAAGACTCAAAGGGAATATAATGTACAGAATTAATAATAACCTACATGATGAACCTGGCCTCAACTACTCTGAAAACAGAAGAACTAGATGGTGCCCACCATCATTGCTGAGAGTTCTGATCAGGGCCACAATAGTGGGATTCTGACAGAAGAGAAAAATATGAACAAAAGATCAAATTTTTAAAAACAAAAACCAAAAACCAGAGTGATTGGACCAGTTAAGACTTGAGACACTCATTAAACTGAACTTAAACTAGCCTGAAAGTACTTAACAGATTGGTTCACAAAATAAAGAATTTCACTTTGTGAATACTATGCTTCTTTCAAAAAATGATCTATGAGACCAGTTGTCAGATGGCAGAGGAACTAGACTGATGGAAACAAAGCAACTAAAATGGAAACAATGAGAATGTGCACTGTGAAGAATGCAAGCAGTATCACTGAATCTCAATCCAAAAATCCAATAAAATGCTATTTTAAGAAAAAATGCAGAAGCTGGCAGCAATGGTTTGTAGCTACGTCCTGTTTAACAATGCCAGGCTGGACTGTCCACTGGGCTCGGGCCACTAGAACCAAGGACTCTAAAGATACTCAAAAGCTTCCTCTCCCTGGTGGTGACACCTTTCACACATCAACAGGTTCACCTTCAAAAACTATCTAGAATCAGCCTACTTCTTTCACTGACTGTCTCCAAGCCAAGTTTGGTCCAGTTTCCTGCTTAGAGTGTGGCAGTGGCCTCTTTGCTGGCCTCACTATCCCCACCCCTTTCCCTGTCTGTCCTCCACATGACGGCAGAGGGTTCTGTCAACAGGAGTCCCCTCCTGCTCAGAACGCTTCAGTAGCTCCACTTCACTCCTGGTAGAAGTGAGAATCCTCCCTGGGGACCATAAAGACCTGTCATCTCCTGTCACCAACCCAGCCACATGAGCCTCCTCCCAGGACCCCCAATGTATCAGGACTTTTGTTCCTGCTGTTGTTTAGATTAGGATCTCTACGTGGTGCCTTCCTCACCTCTTTGAGCTCAGTGCTCATGAGCACCTACTTCTGAGGCCTGCCCTCACCATTCCCAGCTGAGAACCACTGTCCGTCCAGTCCAACCCTCATCTCCTCTTTCCTGCATGGCTTTCCCCGATAGCTTTAAGCAGTTATCTTATTTTCTTACTTGTCTTCACTGCTGCTGAATCAGAACAAACTCACTGCTGACCCTTCTGGGGGTTTCTGAGGCTGTAATCACCTTAAAGGAGGTGGCTCATTTTCTCCTGGTAGATTAAAACTGCCAGAGAGCGATAGCCTTTGGGTAAGCAGTGCAACTCCCTATAGTCTATACTACCAGAGTCTATACTTATTAGTCTTGTTGTGTACTGTTGAGATGGAAACGACCCATAGTTGACTCTCCAGCGGGTTTTGCACAAGAAATTGTTCATTTTTTACCCACACAGCAAGCTGGTGAATTCGAAATATGTAGTTTTGTGTTGGTAACACAATTCTTTCTGACTAAGCCAGAGTTCTCTCTTACTTGTCTTATTCCACCGAAATATAAATAAGGCAGACATTTTTGTTTTAACATGGTCACTACCGTGTTCTCAGGCTCAAGAGAGTGCCCAACACAGAACTGTTGTAAACATGCATTTGCTGAGTACATGGCCATCTCCTGTGTCTAACAGTTTATGGAATGCTGACCCCTAGGCACGGGGTGAAGGGCGTGATGTGCTTAGCTCCCTGGGTCCTCCCAGTTTGCCATGAGCTAGGTCTCCCTTTCTGCTGCACTGCCAAAGCAGGACGTGATGTGAGGTGACTGAAGTGGCTGGTGGGTGCTAACAGTCATGGCCCTACCACCTCCATGTCATTACCTTTGCCCACAAAGTTGTCCTGGTAGTAGCGGGCGCCCAGGTCCACGTGCTCAATGCTGTACTGCCGTGGGCGGCTCTGCGTTCTCTGCTGCTCCTTGGGCACCTCTAGCACCGAGATGCTGGCGTTGGTGCGGTAGGCACTCAGGGTGGGCTCGGCTAGGCGGCTCTCACTGCCACTCGGGGAGCCCACCGAGGCCCGGGAGAAGCTCACGTTGCGCTCGCACTCGCCTCCAATCTCATTGCGGAAGTGTGGGCAGCTAAGCAGCAGGTCATTGCTGTTGTCATCGCCCAGGTCTTGCTCCAGGTTCTCTTTGCAGTTCAGGTCCTCTGTACTGGTGAAGGCTGGGTCCAGGGTGCCCAGGCTGTGGGCCCGTGACGCCGTGAGGGAGGCCACTGCTGAGGCTGCAGAGGCCCCGGTGGTGGTGTTCCGTCGCTGGGATACCGCCACCCTATTGGCAGCTGCCTCGTTCAGGTCAAATAACATGCTTTGCACGTCAAAGTGGGCAAAGCTCTTCTGGCAGACCCACGGTCGGCTGGCCTCTGGGGGGCTCCGGCCCTCCTCGGCCTCCCCTGGAAACCGGCTGCCATCGGTCTCTGGCTTACTGCTCCGTAGCTTCCGGAAGATGGATGAGTCCACTGTGTCCCCACCACCAAGACCCCGCACAGGCTTCTTCCGGGCCTTCTCCTTAAGTGGCTGCAGCGGCAAAAGGTTGTCCCGTGGGGTCTGCACGTTGTGCGGGTCACCCTTGGCTCCACTGCCACTGCTCCCTGCAAGGTGAGGGCCAGAGTCACCCCGGAGGAGCTCGGTGAGGGTCTGGGAGCCCCGGGGCTCGGGCTGCTGCTCGCTGCGGAACTCGTTGAGGATGTCGAAGAAGCTCTGCTCGGGCACACCCTGCACATCAATGGAGGAGGTGCTCCCATACTCCCGGAAGAGGGGCAGAGCCCCCATGTGTCGGGCCGCTCGGGCCTCCCCGGGGTCCTCCACGTCGCACTCACTGAGTGTGATCTCGCTGCTGCTGCGGTGCCGCAGGGGGTGGAAGGCCCTGCCGGGGGACCGCGGCCACCCGTCCTGAAACTCCACGTCTTTGGATCGCCTCCTCGACAGCCGGTGGAAGGCTCTGGGCCCAGTGGCAGCGGGGGTGCTGGCAGGGGGCTGTCCGTTCTGTAAACTCCTCACAGGATGGGCCCCCTTGGTGGTGTCTGTGTCCAGGGAGGGGCTAGGGTTGCTCTGTTCTCGCAGGGCCTCTCGCTTGGGCGGCCAGTCGGCCACCCTGGCGCGCACGCCCATCTTGGGCACTGCAGGGGTGGTGGGGCTGGGTCGGGTGGCAGTGGCAGCTGGGCTCTCCCCAACAGGCTGGGACATGCTGCCATTCTGGACCCAGAATCCCATGGAGGTATAGTCCACCATGTGTGGTCCAGGAAGGACATCAGCCCCCCTGGCCCCACAGCTGGATGCCAGGTCCACTCCATCACCCGGAACGGGCCGATAGGTGGTCATAGTCCACGGGCACTGGGGTGCGATGGGATGCTGGGAGCTCGGGTGTGACTCTATGCGGTCCTCCAGCCTTCAGCCATTGTTCAGAGTTGCCAGTCCCAGGATGAAGGATGACGGCCACCGTGAACTGAGAGGAAGGTTGTGAGCCTGTGGAGTCCAGTTCTCCACCATCGCTGTGGACCACAGGGTCAGGACAAGCTCTGGGGCAGGCACTGTCCTGGGGCTCCAGACCGTGGGGCTCAGCACAGCAGGGGCAGCAGGTGCTGCAGAGGGCAGGTGGGCTGCAGGAGCGTGTTCCTTGCCATGCTGCAAAGAGGGAGAGAAGGACAGCATAAGATGGACGGCCATGTCACTGCTTCCAGAGAATAAGAAGCACAGAAAACATGTCTGCTGTCAAAATTTTTCTTCCATTATGAAAATTTCAAGTATACTCAAAAAAGGTGTTATCATGCCCTGCTGGGTCAGAACTGACTCTTAGCTGACACTCCACCATTTTCAGAGGCAATAAATCACATGAGAGGAGACTGTCCATCTTTCTCCTCATAGCAGCTGGTGGATTCCAACTGCATGCCTTTGGGTTGGCAGCACAACTTCTTACCCACTAAATTAGCTTTACCAAGTAGATGAATGAGTATGATGTAATCTCCATATTCACACTGTCTGCCAGCTTCAGCTCATCTATCTATCTATCTATCTATCTATCTATCTATTTAAAGAAAAATAAGTATGTTAACAAAATTTCACATAACATGAAATTTATCACTTCAGAGCATTATTTGGTGTTAATATATTTACAAAGCATGCAACCACCATCAGCTGGCCAATTTCAGAATGTTGCCATCATCACCTACTCCTAAAATCCAAACTTGTTAACACTCCCAACTAAGACCTCTGTGCACTTTTGTGGAAAGAAGTAGAATATTTTAAAGTAAATTCCACTAATCAGGTCATTTTAGTGTCCAATCATTTTAGCTTATTGAATCAAATAGATACAAGTTCGAAGACAATGATCAAATCAGTAACATTGTCCTACTTATCAAAATTAGTAAGAATCTGGTTTTGTCTGATGATACCACATTGGCTCCCACTCCCAGTGACCTCATGCACTAGAGAACAAAACCCTGTTCAATCCTGTGCCATCCTCACAACAGCTGCTACGTTTAAGCCTACTGCTGCAGTGACGGTGTGTTGTCTTTTTCACTGAGCCTCTACTTTTCCAAGGACCATGTCCTTCTCCAGAAACTGACCTCTCATGAAAACAGGTCCAAAGGATGTGAAATGACAAAGTTTTTCTATCATTTAATGCCCCACCTCTGTCATAAAAACTCCTTCCTCATTTCAAAAGTGTTATTTTAGAGCTGGGTTACTCAGACCAGGATCCTAACAAGAGTGATTCTGCTCCAGTAGATGTATTTAAATCTCTTCTACTCTGTAACAGGCTTCCTTCCTCTAATTTGATTTTATTTCCTCAGAAGAGGTTCTTTGTCCTGTGAAGTTCCATATTTTCAGGACCTGGAGGTCTATCTCCTGTGGTGCTAACATGGTCCTGTGCCCCTGCACTTCTGGTGAACTGGTGACTGTGCCTAGAGGCTGGATTCCTGTCTAGCTGCTCTGTACACTACCCAATCGGAAAGGAAGTGAAAACCATGGGCAACTTGATATGAGCACTAGTGCATTTTAGGGAAGGAAGCCACAATAGAAGGTCTCTAGAAATCTGTGTGATTAACAGACAGCATGAGTAAAGAAGACCAAGAATCACCGAGGCCTTTGAGCTGTGCTGGTGAAGAATATGGAACATACTTTGAACTACCGAAACAATAAATCTGTCCCTGAAGAGAAACAACCAGGGTGCTCCTTGGAAACAAGGATGGAGAGACTCGGCCTCACAAACTTTAGAAGTGTCATCAGAACACTTGGTAAAATAGATGGTCAGCAAATAAAAGCAGCACTGGGAGGCAAATAAAAGCACTGGGATTGGCAGAGCCAACCTGAGGAAAGAAAGGAGACCTGAACGATGAAGGGAAAAAGAAGTGAGGAATGAGTGCAGACCATTTTCTGGCCCTCATGAGCACGGAGACATTGATGTAAGTATAATAGTGAGGTTGCAGATTGCATGGGGCAAAGTAGGAGAAAGAAATTAGGAAATGGGACAGCCCTCAGGGTTAGGTTGACAGAGATAGGAGAGAGCCAGGCAGAGCCTTTAGTGACCAGGACAAACAGGCACCTTCCAAAAAGCCAGGCAGACACACCTTTGCACTTCTCAACGGGGTCTGTGGGAATGCTGATAACAGATCACCTGACTTTTGAAGAGAAATGAGAAATCAAGATTGGTTTGCATCACTCCCCACTTAAAAAAGAAAAAATTACAGCAATGACACCATCAAACTATGCTGCATAGCATCTCACTAGGATGATACTGAAGAAACTTCTAACAGTTGTCTCTGGGGAAAAGAACCATTCCCTCTTCACTCTGGCTTCCTTCCTGGCTTGTTTTTCTTCTGTACTTTGAAAAAGTCGTGTTCTTATTCCTCTAATTTAATCATGCCCTCCTTTCCCCATGTGCATGTGACCAACTGCTGGATCCTCACTGTCTAAATGTTTGCTGAATGAACAGTAGAGAAGGAGTCTTATCTCCACTCTGGACCACTGGTGTTCTGTGCAAACAAGTGAATACCTCTCAAGAGCACTGCCAACAAAACCACAAGGAACAGATATGTGGGCTGGAGCTGGGCAAGGGTTTTGACCTCTGGTCAGTGCTGTAGCCTCTCTGCCACCCAAGAAGAAACGGCCCCAACTCCAGCAGGCTCCCAGGCTGGGCTGGACTGGGCTGTCCGGGTCGGGCTGTACTGCCCACAGCCTGGCAGCCCACCCAGCATGAAGACCCACCCTGCAGCCTGCTTGGACTGAGCACGGAGGAAAGATTAGCTCTTCAAGGCCACAGTGGGTTGGTCAGGAAAACATGTAGCCCTATTGGGGCCCAGATTGTTTATGCAAGCACCTCCTGACAGATGAGCTTTGCTGATGGCATTCTGTTTCCAGCTCAGCAGAAAACTCCCCAATCCAATCTGCTCCCCTCTGTGAACACACACATATGTGCCTGCTGGCCCCAGGCTCTGTGCAAACCCCTCTCTGAACAGGTGTAGCCCAGTCTCCCTGGACAGTCGGGACCAAGTGGCAATGACAGTACATCTGGGATCAAGGGACTGGTGCACACTGCTTCCTTCACTGCTGTCTGCTATCATGCATCACCTTTCCAAAAAGCACCCTGCTCCTCCCGACAGGAAACCTCTACTGAGAGCCTCAGCACACAGATACCGGAAATAGGCAGCCCGGGTTAAAATCCTGGGCCGCTATGAACTGGTTACAGCAACTGGCTCAGTTTTAATCTGAGGAGAACACAGACTCCCATTTTTTACTGTAAGCTGCTGCTGAGTTGGCAGGCTTATGATCACATACTATGTGTGATGGGAATGGAAGTGCCCTCCTCATGACAGTTTGTGGATCCAACCACTGACCCACGGGTGATTTTTCAGTGGGTGATTTTCAGTACCCCTTCCCCTCCGACCCCTCTGCTATGTGTCTTTGGGTAGAACTGCCCCCTCGCCTCAAATGCAGTAGCACAACCAAGAGTGGGCACAGAAATTAGGTGAAACCTACTGAGTAGTCTCCCCAGGGACTCTGCACAAAGGGGCACAAAAACTCAGACCGCTGAAGAGCACCCTTAAAATGGCAGGGGACAGGCAGAACCAGCTTTTCTGTGGTGGGCCTTTTGCTGAGGACTGCAAGTTCCCTCCCTCTGGTGTCCCCTTGGCTCCAGCTGGTTTTCTATGACATAACTTCTGTCCTCCCAATGGTTATTTAAACCTCTAATCAACTGTCTTTGCCCAACATGACCAATTCTAGTTTCTGCTGCTGGCACTTCGAGGACCCTGACTCACACACAGTGCCGTGAGTCAGGGTGGCAGCTGGGGAAGTGGGGATGGGAATAGGGCAGCATAATGAGAAGCAAGCTGTGACAGTAGAATCCACCGGGATGCACACGCTTAGCAGTAATGGAACGCCATCCAATGATGCCTCGGGTGTTGAAGACATCAAATTATCTCCCATTACAAGGAGGTCAGATATGGTGGCTCCGGCTTGGTGCTGGCTCTCTAGAAAATGACTACATCATGTCTTTTTTCCCCACCTTCCCCTCTGCTTCCCTCACATGCTGCTGGAGTCTATCTTTCAGTTTATTGCTTCAAGGTCACACAACGTAGACAGAGGCTGCTCCTCACTGAACCGTGGGCAAGCTGAGATGCTCCAGAGAGGCAATGATGGTGACATTTTAATCTCACATTAACACATTCTCTGGAGGGTGCAGTCTTTGAAGCACAGTGGATTCTGTGAAGATGGCACAAGACTGATCTGTTGTACATGCGGTTGATAGGAGGTGGAGTGAACTTGGCACCTAACAACAGTAACAGTGAGTGTTCTACTCATCTGATATAATCAGGAAGAATACCCTTCCTTAGACATTCCCTCCACCTTCCCCACGCCAGTGGTCTTTTTTATGTCTCATTAGCCAAGAATTGGTCAAATGGTCATCCTTGCTAAAATGGAAGCTGGGAGAGCCAGAATCTATTCTGACTGGCTTGTCCTTGGGCCACTCAGGACTCATCCCCTGAGGTGAAGTCACTGAATGTGGGAGTCTCACCACCGCCTGGATCCTGTGTCAGTACAGGTCTGACCACCACATCCAATGAATCAGGAAGTATCTGCAAACTGAACAAATGGCTGATTGTTGTGGAATGTTGGGGAGGAAGGGAGGGCCTCTGGCCAGGACAGATCACCTAAGCTCCAGATAAAAATGCAAGCCTCCCAACTGCCTTTAATATGGGTAGAGAAAGCTCCTCTGTGTTTGTACGGCTGATGTGTCTTTTGAGCTGGGAGTGGTCCACACTGACTGAGGCTGAGGTTTTCCTAACCTATCTGCATGCCCCCTGCCTGGAAGCCCACCCTAT